TGATGTATTGTCTTTTGGTGTGACGTTGTACCAGCAGACTGCTTCCTGTACGGAACAGCGCATTCAGGCCGCGATTCGTTTTACTGTGTGGTGGTATCACTCCACTATACCATTCCCAGCTGGGGCATATGCACAGTAGAACTGCAAGTTGATTCCCCATTCACATGCAAAGGCTCTGAATTCCCTGCTGCAGAAAGCTGGGTCGTTGTCCGTGAGTAGCTCATGGGGTGGGCCCCGCTCGAGGAACACTTCTTTCAGCTGGCGAATGACGGCCGCCGAGTCTTGTCTTGCCAACTGCTTCCAGATTGAAAAACGCGATGGGCCACAGTCCGTCAGCATTAGGAAATGATGGGCACCATAGTGAGGGATATCCATCCCCAGTTTCCGCTTACCTCAAGCTTTCCTTTTTTCCAGCGAGTTGGTGCAGGGTCTGACATTCCTCACATGTCCGTATAACCGATCTAACAGCTGCTTTTGTTGTTGACGGGCAGACTCTCCTGGCAAAGTAGGTAGTATGCCACACTCCTGGGTGACCACTGTTCCTGTGGATGGACATGATTTGATCTGCGTCTAGTTCGTCCACATGGGTGTCTTCATTGCGTCAAACCATCACTGCGGTACTCTTGTCAGTCCATCAGCTATATTCAGAGCCGAAGGGACCAGTGCCACATCCATTGTCAGCTGATACTCTTCCACGAGCTCTTTAAGAGTGCTCAACCGCCTCCTGATGAGCATTTCGTTTGCCGCCTTGGTGTGCACTCGCGCTTTCCCAGTCAGAGTATCCAACACCCAATGATACATGCAAATGGAATCCGTTTTTAGGTGTAGCATCTTGCTCTGCCACTGGAGTGCTAGATTGACGCCTTTCAACACGGCATCCAGCTCGGCCAGGTTGATGTGCTGAGCATTATCTTTAGGTCACAACCAGCAAGCTTCCTCCAGCAACGCCTCATGGCTCTCTAACGCTACTCCGGTCACCAGGGAACTTGCATTCAGCTCCCGGGCATCCACGCACCACTCCCCACGAGCTGGATCGTCCCACTGCACAGAATCCACGGTCTCAGACACCATGCGCCAGAGAAGGGCATCTTTTGTTTCATCATCTTCGTAACTGCACTTGCTCTCCTCTTGAGCATTCCACATGCCACACGAAGCCAACCACAGACTGGGAGGTGCCCAACAAGCCTTCCACACAGAGAGAACACCTTCCGTCGCGTAACGACATCGGGGACGTTAGGAACCACGCTTCCTCGTCTCCACCGCAGTCTTCCTTGTTCCATCGTGACTGCCAATCCTAGTACCTGTGCGCCATCCTCCAACCGTTCTAGGTCCTTGCATTCCAGCCCAAACTGGGCCAGATGTTTAACGCGGGTCGCGGGAACAACATCTTCATTGATGTAGACGTCGTCAATGTAGGCAGATGCCGCGCGACCCACAGCTTCCTCCTGAGCCAGCACCGTACTGATGATCGCCTTCATGACGAGGGGGGCCACGTTTAATCCAAATCCTAAACGTGTCAGACAATATCTTCTCCCATCAATTTTCACGGTCTGGTATGGCCAGAGTGACTCATGGACATGTATTTGGAGGTATGCTCTCCTGAGATCCAACAAGGACATGTTGGATCCCTTTTGCCACCATTCGCGCAGTTTAGCTGCATAGACGTCCGCATCGGCTGTGAAAGCGTCAACGTGATGGTTGAGCTCCCGGAAGTCCATCACCGGGCATACCTTCGACGTGTTCTGCTGTAGTACGGCCATCACGAGAATTAGCCCCTTGGGAGGCCCCAGTTTTTCTTCTGGGTATGGCACGAGCCAGCCACTGCTGATCCACGTGCGGAGCTCCTGTTCGTAGTCCTCCCTTATTTCTGCTGCTACCATATACTCAAAAACCCCATTGTGCAGTCTTTCAGGTGCGCGGTTCTCCGACCACTTCCATGCCACAGTCCAGGATCGCCTCCGGTAGTCGAAGGTTGCAGTGAAGTCGGGTTCATTCACAACAATGGCTGCGCATTTGGCTACTCGCCCATTGCCAATCTGTGCTCATCTTGTACGCCCAACAGTAATGCCTCCCAATGCTGTTATGCATCAATTCCCAATAGCAGGTCGAATCCCAGTGGTTTGCCGCGCACCACCAGCAGGTCGATCTTAGCAGAACCACCTTCCTCCGTGGATACAGTTACCACTCCCACGCCACAACATGGATGGGAGACGCCTCCAATAGTCATGACATCCACCTTCACTTTCTTCCAAGACCGGCACCGATCTGCATCCACAATTGTCCGTGAACAGCCGGTATCGATCAGTGCTGAGCACGAAGTTCCGTCAACAAGTACGTTTGCCACCGGGAGTGCCGCATTTACATCTTGGTTGGGGAGAAGGCTGGCACTGATGCCTTGTCCCCTGTAGCGTTTCCCCGAACAGTCTCGGGCCCAGTGTCCAAACTCCCCGCATTGATAGCAGCGTGTTCCGCGCTTCTGGCAGTCTTTTGCATGTAGCATGTCACACTGGTGCGTGGGACGCTCTTGGTGGGAGACGTGCCGACACTACGGTGTGGGCGCACAGCCGCAACAACGTTCTGACTTTCATCTCCGGTAGTTGTCAGCACTCTCACTAACAACTCCCCTACAGTCAGTGCTTCAACATTCGGTGCCTGTTGGAGTTCGAGGGAGATTGCATCAGGAAAACCCATGACGAAGGATAGTTTGGTGAGCTTTTCCATCTGGCCAATCGAACAAACTCTCTGACTTTATTTGCGTAAACGTCTACGCGCTCGCCGGTCCACCTGACCATAGTCAGTTTTCTATATGCTGAAAATGCATCATCCGCGAATGCCTGCTTCAGTCTGGCTTCAATTTGATCGATGTCTCCTTGATCTTCCTCCTCCATTTACATGTAGAGGGCTAGTGTGTCCCCCTCCAGGTATAATGGTAGCAGACTAGCCACATTGTCCACCTGCTGAAGTCTCACCACCACATAGCCCTGGCTGGAAAACGGTTTTATAATGTCACTGCTTATGCGAACCTTCGCCATAATCTGCCGAAATAGCTTGTAGGAAAAAGAAGAGAGAAAAACAAAAAAAGTAACGAGAGGGTTCGCCAGCAAACCAGGTGTTATTCTTCACCGTTGGTCGCCTTAAAGAAATGAATTGCGAGACTCTTTTTCTCGGCTGTTACACCGGGCAGTCGTGAAACGGACACCCAAATCAAACGCGCCTACTTCAACCGCCTCCTGGTCTGCCAGTCTATTCGCACGTCCAACTCTGTTTCACGAAGTCCGTCGAATGACTCACCGTCTGCTGTGCTGCTGGCACCTCGCCTTTTTTATGCTAGTCTGACACTGCTGAAATTTGCATGTGTACTGGTACAATCTCGTTTTGGGCGAGACCGGCGCGTATAAATCGTGTCCATGTTTTCTTTGGGATTTATCATGCAAGAAAGTCATGTTTGCACACGTTTCAAGCTCCGAGATAAGTCATCACATATATATATATATATATATATATATATATATCCTTTCTAGATATTGCCAGTGGCCTATATATAGAGCCTAAATAAAGAGGAGTTACACATGGTCTGATGATCACTTAAGTCATGAAACTGACAGCAATTCAGACTACATGGTGACAATGACCACACTGTTTATATCCATAAATTCTACATACCCCATAAAAAAAAATTTTACATAATACAACTAGATACATATTAGATGTATATTTTATATGTCTCTAATATAAATATTTATATTTCTCTGTTGGCAAGAGCTTCACACTGTGTCAACAATTAATAAAACACTAATTCAAACAACCAATAAAACATATTCCTAGCTCTTCTATTATTGATTATCTAAGTCACCCTATTCCCCACTGACCCATTTAATCATTATAACTCAAAGGATATGATCAAGTCTGATCCAAGACTCAAGTTAAATATTGTAATAATTAAAAATATGTAAGTTTAAAATCCAACTGGAAAGTCTTTTACCATGTGTATTTTTCTGAAATATAACTTGGAAGGACATTAGATCTTTTCAACTCTTGCTACAGACCTTACTTTCTAATATCAACAAATACCACCATTTATTCAAAATAAGAACTTCCAAACACATTTTTAAAAGTTTGTTTGCAAACAGTTCAACATTATTTCCAAATAAACACCACTATGAAATTTTGTAGGAACAGTAGAGCAATGGATTGCAGCTCAGATTCAGGAATTGGAGAGCCATGTTCAAATTCTAGTCAAGTTCATTACATTCTGATATCCTTGGGAGAAGTATAAATCCAACTCTTTTCCCCACCAGCTATGGATAAATAGTAGGACAGACTGGGTTCTATAGCCTTGGGTAGCAACCAGTCTAGGAGAAGGAAAAACTTTGAATTTAAAACTGTATGTAGCCCTGGTGAAGCATATACTATACATTACAAACACTCTCTTTCAACTTGCCTTGAGCCAGCATGGAAGAGTAGCCTCATAAAATTAACATAAGAAACTTTGTGAATCTCGTATTGATTCTTAGTCTGAAACAATTGACAATGAAATTTTTAATCATTCTTGAAAAAAAATGATGGAAAAGAAAGAAGCAATGAAAAAAAATAATTTAAGGCCTTAAATCAAGTATAATTGATTTGAAAAAGTATGATACAAGCTCAGAAAACTCAATACACACAACAAAGTGGGAGTGAGAGAGGGAGGGAGTGATTAAGAAGAGGTTATAAAAGTTGTTGACATTTAAAAGAAAGTTTAAATTACAAGTCTGTGTTTACACTAATGCCTTTGGGAAATGTAAGAATCTCAATCCCCTTGAATGGTGTTCATTTTCAGTCTACCTTAAACAATCTTACTTGCCTGGGATGTAGTAATGGAATTAAGCTATATCATTCTTAGTAGAAACTATATATATATATATATATATATATATATATATATATATATATACACACACACACACACACACACACACACACACACACACACATTATATTAATAAATGAAAATTTCTTACTTTCTCATTTGGTTGAGCTTTTCAAAGGCCTGCTGTGAGTGGTGCTGGTTTTTATAAGCTGGATGGTCCCGTCCAGACAAAATTTTGGGGGGCCTGATATCCATCTCGCTTGGATGCATTAAATGTATTTAATGGATCCTATAGGAAAAGAGACAACATATGAAAAAAATGAAAAAAATAACACTTAATACTGTGAATACTTTGTGAATTTAGGCAGAAAATTCTTGATTGTTTGATTGAATAAATTACAAACAATAAGTCTGCTTATTTTTATTATAATCCTTTCATATTCACAAATATTTTTCTGTATATTACAATCAAATGAGGCAAGAAATGCACTGTAACAGTGAAAATCACTTATTTCCCAAGTATTTTCCATCTCTTTCTGAGATCATCAACAGGGTGCAACTGGTAATACACAGTTTTTCCTTACCAGTTGACAAACACACACACATTATATATATATATATATATATATATATATATATATATATATATATATATATATATTTAGCTATGGTAATTGGCTAACTAATTAGCCATAGAAATTAAAAACAGAAATTCTTAAAAGGCGAGAAAGAGCTATATCGAAAGATAGACTGAGTGGCATTAAAAAGATTTTATTTTATTTAAAAAAAAAAAAAAAAAAGGATACTTTTTGCAAAAGACAGAGAATCCATAAGAAAAAGCGAGATTGTGATTCTGTTAAAACTGATTAATGTCACGATAAGGGAGTGACGTGCCAAACAAAACGGAATTCAGAAAGACAGGCAGAGCCGGCCACACAGGGCAACCATAAAAACATTTTGGCTCGAACAAAGCCGCGGTACAGGCGGGGAGAATCAATATTAATTATCTTTCAGAGATATCATTTAATTTTAATTCCTGGTTCCAGCGAAGGAAGCTATCTGGGATATGCACGAATCTTGGCATGGGATGAGAAATCATAAAAGGAATCATTATTATTGCTTATTCAAACTGTTGACTTCAGACTTAGCATCTTGAAAATGAGCATCTGGTGATAAAAGAATTCTAAGGCATGAGAAAAATAAAGAATTTGATTCTCAGGTAAACACAACCACCTAGTTAAAAGTTGACTAGAGGAGAAACCAGGTGTCGGGTTTTGACAGTGATTAATGAGTCGGTAGAGGTCCGGGCTAAGTGGATTTTGGGTGTCCCCAAAATCAAGATGTGATAAGAATTATTTGGCAATCTGGGATTTGTAAATGTTTTGGCTGAAGGAAAAGGAAAAAGAAAAAAAGTATTTTGTAAACAAAATTCTGGAATAATTTTAAGAGGGCCAGTCTATCCACACCCACACTGCCGAGAGATCATTGGTCAAGTGGTAGCATGGGTTATAGGCAGAGGTGAATATATGAGAAAGACGGAGAAGTTGTTAACACCCACTGAAGGGATTGGTATGAGATACCAATGTGAGAGAGGAAGAGTCTAGGAAGTTAACTCTCCTCTGACCTTCCCTCATGGACAAAGGAGGAACCCCCGAAGTGGAAAATGATTAATCTTCCAAAAATGGGAAATAATTAATTTTCCTGGCCTAAGAACAAAGAGAATTCTTGTTGGGAATTGAGAATTATCAAGGAACCCAAACAACGTCAGGCCCCCACACCGAGTTTGGGTCGGTGTCCATATAAACAAACGTCTCAAGGCAGCTGGGCAGTACAGTTCGAGTTTGGAGGTAGTTCGAGAAGTTGGAGAGTTGAGTTGCAGTTGGAGACCAGCCTCACAGAAGCTGACTGAAAGATTTCCACGTCCTCTCGATTTAGTCTTCCTACCAAAAGAAAGTTTTATTGACAAACGATTTAAGATACCATAACTCGCTTAAGAAACGCATAAAGTGTCACAAATCCATAGAAACGGGCTGGGAGAGAAACACACTCCTGTATTCAACAGACAGATAAAGATAATTGTTATTTTTCAACATATTTGAACCTCTTGAGTTTATTTTATAATTTTTTTTTTTTTTTTACTTACGCTTGTGCGGTATCACCCAGATTCAGCTTGCACTACGGCCCAACGCTCATTGATTTCGTCTACCTAAGATCAAAGCCACAACATGGGTAGGTTAGACTTGAGATCAAAGCAGTTATTTCGGTGACCAGGCATTGGAGATGAGCTGAGAACGACAAAGCTGATATCGAACTGGGAACGACCAGCTTGACCAGGACACAGTGGCAGCGACAAAGAGTCAACCCCAAAACACTGGTGGAAGAACTCTTACAGCTTCGCGCCGCAACTGGGAATTGACCTCGGGCTGACAGCGCAGTGTCATATATTGGCATGGCGACCACACCAGTGGGTGTCTCACATACATACACACATACATACACACAACATATACACACTTCAGGAAAGAAAAACTTGTCTTTCATAGTTTTGATCAAATTACGAAAGACAAGTTTTTCTTTCCTGCCATAACAATGTTTACTGTAGAACGATACTTTCTCGACAGACGGCATTACCCTCATGGCTGTAGCCTCCACAAGTGACAGCTACAACATGATGGGCATATGTTTGTTGTTTGAGAAACATAAAATTATTTTAAAATGGTATTTCAAATTTGAGAATTTTGTTGAAGTCCAAAGACAATGGAGCCATGAGTTTGGAACAACCTCCAACACATTTGACAATGTCAGATTCCTGATAAGTTTCACAGATAAGTGATAAGCATATTCTTAAGAGAGCTAAATGGAATGTTTACATCCCAAGATTATTACATGTAATTAATGAAGATAATCCAGATTAAAGGATCCAGTTTTGTGAGTGGTTTCAACACATGTTAAGCAAGGATGAAGAGCTGGTGAGAAAGATTGTGTGGTCTGATAAAGCACAATTTAAGCCAAATGAAACCGTTAACCAACATAATCGTCACATGCATGTCAACAAAGCAGTCAATTTACCTGGTGTCAATGTCTAGTGTGGACTGTCATCTAGAGGTCTAATAGGACCATTTTTATTTGAATGAACTGTTACTAGTCAAGCATACATAGACCTGCTACCTACATTCATATTACCTGTTATAAATGAAATTTATGGAAATGATGAATTTTTCTTTCAATAAGACAGAGCACCGCCACACTACCTGCAAGATATACAAACTTAACTGAATGAGAATTTGCAAGGACACTGAGTAGGACAAAGAGGTGCAGTTGTATCCGGCCATGTTCTCCTGATTTAACACCTGCAGAGGCCTTAAAGGATGTTGCGTATTGCAGAATACCAACTACATTGGCAGTCCTTAGACAAGAAATGAAAATGCATGTGCAGCAATCCCACTGGACACTTTGGCCAACATTGTTCAAGCAGTAGTTCACCATTTCATGCATCTCTTGTGATTGTAGAGTTTAGAGGTTCTCTTTCTCCATTATGCGTCCCAGAAATTTTAACTGTTCCTTGATTGTAAGTATTTGTGTCCTTTTTATTTCCTATTTCTCTTTAAAACTGCTATATAAAAACTTAAAACTTGCTTGTAAATTTGCATATACACACATTATTATGAAAAATCCTTTTGTACAAAATTTTTTGACACCGCCAAAAAACAAAGAAATATTTTTGTTTTATTACTCTGTTCAATTATAAATATCAACACATGCCCTTTTTTGAAGTCTTGATATAGATCCAGATCAAATTTGGGTGCATAAAATAAGTAAATGGAACACACATCAGAAAATTTTTTTTTTTCTGCTGATATTAAAATCAATTACAAAAAATACAAAAAAAAAATAAAATAAAAATAAAAAGTTGGTCAGTTTATTAAGTTGAAATAAAATATATATTTTTGAACATCAACTTTATTGAACAAAAGACTCTATTCATAAATTACAAGAACACTATGAAAATGACTATTTTCTTGTTGAATTTGTAGTTTTGTATTTAGAAGATTACAATGCACATTTAACTGAACAGAAGATAAAACGGCTCTAAAATATGACATCTAACATCTCAAAAATGCAGTGATAATTTCAATTCTGTCTTGACTACTTAGTGTCACAGCCATACACCACTTTGGATCACAGTCAACAGGATGCAAAAGTTTGATACCAAGATCTCCCTGAAATCCATAGCCACAGTATCTACCCAGAAAAAAACCCAACAATGTCAGGCTTTTTGCATCATATGCATATTTCACAGAAAGCTGAAATCCCCCTTAATATGTCTATAAATACTTTATCTTTTATAGATGCAATCCTTAGCCAAGTTATATCATTTCTTTTTCCTTGGGTGGTTAAACTATCAAAGCAATTTAATGGTAATCTTTACTTTCATTTTTACTCATTATTTCTTTCATAAAAGTTGATTTACCTTTACCACTTTTTGGTAAAAGCTATGGATTTATAGACACATAATAATGTTCAGAAGCTGTATATTTGAGCTCCATTTTATTCTAAGCAAGAATACAATGTCATTTTCAAAGTTCAGTCCTGTTTTTGCTCTCTTCAAAAGAAACTTCACTAAAGCAAAAAAAATAAATATAAAAATAGAGAAACACTATCAACTCTAATTGCCTGCAAGAGAAAAGACTATTACTTTTCTTCCTCATAGGAAATCTCAGATTTTTCTTCATGAGATTTCTTATAACTTTGTTTAAAATATCATGTGCATCTGTAACACATTAAATATGATCATGAAAGTTTCACAATTTTGTAATTAAGGTTCATTTCTCAATGTCCAGCAATGATAAAAACACTTCTGAATATCATGTCATCACTGATCTACCACTTTTTTTTGTTGTTGTTTTTAGGACTCTTTATGCTTATGATGAAGTATAGAAACAAGCTGTCAAGAAAAATTAAGATTTCTCAGTGACCAGACAACAAATTATAAGAGATACTATTAAAAAACTCCATTAAGAGATGTTCAAACAATAACTCAGCAAATATTGAAATCTTTTGTTCACAACGATCTTGATTGGCAACTCATCTAGTACTGATGTAGAAATGAACAAAATTTGATCTGAATGTTACCAACAGGGGAAAAAAGAAAAAGATGA